CACAAAAAATGCATTCAAAGAATTTCATGATTGCACTATTTAAAATAATTCTAATTCGTTGACCAGCACCTGTAGTGTGAGCAGTGAAGTTGCAGCTCGATGATCGGACCGTATAGTGTGAGCACATAAATCCTGAACTTTGCCTTTACATCGCATGCGATTTGATCGTTCAGTGTGAGTAGGTACCATGCTGAAATTGCACAGACATCGCACAGTGTATGCCCGCCTTTAGAGAAGTTAAGAGTTTGTCGTCTATTAAAAAGTAGTCGATTCGTGAATATGAACGATGCACTGGGGGAAAAAAAGAGAACTGTCTAATATTTGGATATAAAAAACAGCAGGGATCTGAGAATTTGTATGTCTCGAAAAAAGTATTAATAAACATAGCAGATTTGGATAATTTGTAGGGCGTTTTTGAAGGCCGATCCATTGTGGGGTGTAGCACACAGTTAAAGTCTCCTCCTAGGATTAGTTTATGTGTGGTCAAATTGGGGAGATTGGTTAAAATAGATTTTATAAATGATACATCGTCCCAGTTGGGGGCATAAATAGTTGCTAATATCAGAGGAACATTATATAATGTACCAGTTATTATAACAAATCTACCTCCTCTATCAGTTTGAACATTACTCACGCAGAACGGGGTGTTCTTATTAATAACAATCGCAGTCCCCCGTGATTTTGACTGGAAATCAGAGTGATAAATTTGCCCCACCCAAGATTTTTTAAGTTTATAGTGATCAGTTGATATTAAGTGTTATGAGGGTGACGGATGAACCCAAGCGCAGACAGTATGCAATCACACAAAGTTTATTGTAGACAGAAAACAAAACCCACGAGGGGGTAAAACAAGGGCAAATCTGATGAGGGAAGACTAAACTAGACTAACACTTGACAAACTAGACTATAAACTAACAACAGAAACAGGACCAGTAATTCACCAGACCAAACTGTCACAAGGTACTCACAGTAAGTTAACACGCAGGAAAGAATCACAATGAACCAACACCGGACAGCAAACACAAGGGGATGATATAGGGAGACACTAATTACAAGAACAGGTGAAGCTGACTAGACAATGACAAGACGAGGATAACAAGGGGGCGGGGTAACGTAACGAGACAACAAGCACATGGCCCAAACAAAAGGCCATGTGCTTGCACACAAAACATGGGTCTGTCATGATCCTGCCTCAAGACTAGAGAAAATCAAGGACACGAGGGCAGAATCATGACAGAACCCCCACCTTGAGGAGCGTCTGGAAGCCGCTCCTTAGCGGCTTCCAGACGCTGTTCCGGCAGACCTGGAAAGGGGACATCAAGCACGGGACAAGACAGACTGAGACAGACACAAACCAACAAAACATGACAAATAACAGTTACGGCAAACATAAAAACACAACAACAGGGTTAGGATGAAACATCAAAAATAATAAACAAGGAAGAGGAGGCGGAGGAAACACAGAGTTCATAGGAGGTGATCCAGGGTGGGTAGGTGGGACGGTGGTCTTGGGTCTACGGGATGTGGGCTTAGGACGAGGGATCCTAACGGGTTTGGGTGGTGTAGTGTGGGAAGTGGGAGAAACAGTCCGGGGTTTAGTCATGACAGGGGTGACCGGGGAAACATACAGTGGTCAGGTGACAGTGGGGACCTCTGCAGGCGGCAGCGGAGTGAAGACAAGGGGTGAGGCAGGTGGTAAGGGATCGGGAAAAGGCGCTGCGGCTGACTGTAAAGCTGGGACAGGATCCGCGTTCTCAAAAACAGAACCTTCGCTCTCCGAAGCAGACTCGGAACCAGCACCCTCCTTTGCCGACTCAGAAACAAAGTTCTCTGCAGTAGTCATGGAGACAGCCTTCTCAGCAGCAGGCTTTGAAACAGCGCTCTCTGCGGCAGACTTGGAAACAGCGCTCTCTGCGGCAGACTTGGAAACAGCGCTCTCTGCGGCAGACCTGGAAACTGCGCTCTCTGCGGCAGACCTGGAAACTGCGCTCTCTGCGGCAGACCTGGAAACTGCGCTCTCTGCGGCAGACCTGTAAACTGCGCTCTCTGCGGCAGACTTGGAAACTGCGCTCTCTGCGGCAGACCTGGAAACTGCGCTCTCTGCGGCAGACCTGGAAACTGCGCTCTCTGCGGCAGACCTGGAAACTGCGCTCTCTGCGGCAGACCTGGAAACTGCGCTCTCTGCGGCAGACCTGGAAACTGCGCTCTCTGCGGCAGACCTGGAAACTGCGCTCTCTGCGGCAGACCTGGAAACTGCGCTCTCTGCGGCAGACCTGGAAACTGCGCTCTCTGCGGCAGACCTGGAAACTGCGCTCTCTGCGGCAGACCTGGAAACTGCGCTCTCTGCGGCAGACCTGGAAACTGCGCTCTCTGCGGCAGACCTGGAAACTGCGCTCTCTGCGGCAGACCTGGAAACTGCGCTCTCTGCGGCAGACCTGGAAACTGCGCTCTCTGCGGCAGACCTGGAAACTGCGCTCTCTGCGGCAGACCTGGAAACTGCGCTCTCTGCGGCAGACCTGGAAACTGCGCTCTCTGCGGCAGACCTGGAAACTGCGCTCTCTGCGGCAGACCTGGAAACTGCGCTCTCTGCGGCAGACCTGGAGACCTGGAAACTGCGCTCTCTGCGGCAGACCTGGAAACTGCGCTCTCTGCGGCAGACCTGGAAACTGCGCTCTCTGCGGCAGACCTGGAAACTGCGCTCTCTGCGGCAGACCTGGAAACAGCACTCTCCTCAGCTGTGGGCACAGGACTTGAGGACATGACAGGAATTTCAAGGATTTTCATGAGACAAGACAGATAGTCAGACATAGTTTTGGCAGCAACGACGACAGGCATCTCTTGACGAGCTGATACAGACCGGAGGAGTGCTTCTGCAGCTGCGTCGGCCGCAGCTTTCTCTGAAGCGGACTCAGAGACAGCACTAACGGCAGCAGACTCGGGAACAGCCTTCACTGCTGCAGGCTCAGGAACAGTCCTCTCAGCAGCTTCAGGAACAACTCTCTCCAACGCAGACTGGGGACTTGAGCTCTCTGCAGCGGATTCAGGAACAGCCTTTCCAGCTGCAGAGTCCAGGACCACGCTTACAGCAGCAGGCTCAGGCACAGCGCTCTCAGTTACTGCGGCGGGTTTGAGATCCATCGCGGGCTCAGGAGGGGATAGAGACGGAGAACCAGAGGGTCCCTTCCTCCTCTTCTTCTTCCTGGGTCGTGGTGCAGATGCCGTTGGTGGACTGGTGAGTGGTTGGGGAACCATGGCGGGATCTGTGTCTGGAATATCAGTCTCTAGGAGGGCTGATTCCGTCACGGAGGACTCTGATGTTGACTCCCAAGATGTCCGTCTCCCTCGCTTGCTGAGTAGACCTTCGGGTCCGGATGGCGTCTCGGGAGTGGAAGTGGGACCAGCTTGATTCCCCTGGGAAACAACACCTAGGACACGACCCTCCGGAATTATTGGTAGGCAGGCAGCAGGCGAAGACCACGAGGACGCCGTCTCTGACTCCTCCCAGGAGAAACGATCATAAAGCTGAGCGCAGTTCGACAGGATCCACTCACCCTCAGGCGTGTATGGAAGGTTTACGCTCCTCCTATTGAGGGGAGTTGATAACCAACATTGATCAGAGGAACCCGGAGGTCACTTGGCAGGAAAGCACACACTGTCTGCTGGGTTCGGTCTTGGTCGGTTCATTCTGTTATGAGGGTGACGGATGAACCCAAGCGCAGACAGTATGCAATCACACAGTTTATTGTAGACAGAAAACAGGGAAAACAAAACCTACGAGGGGGTAAAACAAGGGCAAATCTGATGAGGGAAGACTAAACTAGACTAACACTTGACAAACTAGACTATAAACTAACAACAGAAACAGGACCAGTAATTCACCAGACCAAACTGTCACAAGGTACTCACAGTAAGTTAACACTCAGGAAAGAATCACAATGAACCAACACCGGACAGCAAACACAAGGGGATGATATAGGGAGACACTAATTACAAGAACAGGTGAAGCTGACTAGACAATGACAAGACGAGGATAACAAGGGGGCGGGGTAACGTAACGAGACAACAAGCACATGGCCCAAACAAAAGGCCATGTGCTTGCACACAAAACATGGGTCTGTCATGATCCTGCCTCAAGACTAGAGAAAATCAAGGACACGAGGGCAGAATCATGACATTAAGTGGGTTTCTTGGAGAAATGCTATATTTGCCTCCAGCCTCTTTAAATGGGTAAGGATCTTATTGCGCTTTATAGAATGGTTAACCCCCTTTACATTCCAACTCACAAAGTTCACTGTAAGTGATTTGCTATGTCCCAGGTTTTGCAGCATTTAATGAGCAAAAAAACTGATGTGTCAACCTTTTTCTGAAATTCACCTATCAACTGAACACGATAGCACATGTATACATGAACAAATTTGAATGACAAACAAACACTTTGACCCCCCCCCCCCCCACACACACACACACAACCTACAGCTTCCCGACTGAGAAGCAAGAGAACATCCCACATGTAATTAACCTTCAATGTTCCCAAACGCATTGGACTTCTAAACGCTCAACGTCCAAAATAACATTTAACGCAATTGTTTTTTTTGTCTTTTTGAAAAGAGATTCATAAGACATTCTAGGCTTTAACCATGTGTCCCCACTGTCGAGATGGAGAGAAAAAAAATATATATATTATTTTTTAAACCGGAAACAGGACTAAAATATTTCAGATGCTAGACATTCAAAGCAGCAGATTATTTAATGTCTTAAACGTGTAACATGCAGGAGAGCATCATGACATCATCACTGTGCAGCAAAACACAGATCAGATACACATGTGGATCACAAGATGAGAGTAAATACGTCAAAATATTACAATGGAAGTTTTATCAACACTTTTTATTTTATTTTTTACTTAAAGTTACTATATGTTATAATTATTATGTTTTTATTATTTTTGGCCATTTTTAGGCCTTTATTGACAGGACAGCTGAAGACATGAAGGGAGAGAGAGGGGGGAATGACATGCAGCAAAGGGTCGAAGGTCGGGGTCAAACCCAGGCCCGGTGGATCCAAGAGTACACCTCTACATCTGATCTACATCTGATCTACATCTGATCTACATATCACCTCTACATCTGATCTACATCTGATCTACATCTGATCTACATATCACCTCTACATCTGATCTACATCTGATCTACATATCACCTCTACATCTGATCTACATCTGATCTACATCTGATCTACATATCACCTCTACATCTGATCTACATCTGATCTACATATCACCTCTACATCTGATCTACAACTGATCTACATCTGATCTACACATCACCTCTACATCTGATCTACATCTGAACTACATCTGATCTACATCTGATCTACATATCACCTCTACATCTGATCTACATCTGATCTACATCTGATCTACATCTGATCTACATATCACCTCTATAGACCCAGCATCACCTCTACATATGATCTCTCCAGGACCCCTTATCAACACCACATATCTACACTAGCCTGCAGCTGACGGCAAAGTGAATGAACCACGCTCATGGATTCGAGAGTTGAGATTGTACTTGATATTTAAAAAATAACTCTTTAAACCTTTGATCGGTTCATACTTTATCCATAAAAGCCGTCATCATTTATTTTCCATAATGACACAGTCTATTAGTGTACATACTAATCCAACACCCTTTAATATCATTATTAACCATTTTACAATAGGCGGTGTCCAGGGATTCATTAAAGAAGGACCAACAAAAATAATTTACAAACACATCTGAATTGATCTTGTAGGTCTTGTATTTTTCCAGCAAAAGATCCAGGTACCGTAAATACACATCGATTGCAGCTTCGATCTCACGAACACAGTCTGATGCAGGTTTTGCAGCCTGAATATCCAGGCGAGCCTCGTGGATCAGCATCTGGACGTGGAAGGCGGCTCAGTTGACCCAGATCTTGAACCCGCGGCTGCTCATCTGTCCGTCATGCAGAAGGGAGTTTCTGAGGATGGTGAGATGGTCGCTCAGCTGCTTTTCCAGTCTCCTTATTTCCTCCCGTAATAGTTGGTCATTGTTCATGTACACTTGATGGCGTTTCAGATACTCTGCCATTGTGTCTCGGACACTCGAAGCTTTCTCTTCCCCAAACACTCGTCGTAACAGGCTGTATGTGTCATCCCTCGTCTGAGTGCTGCTCTTGATGGCGATCTCTATGATCATGGAAATCACCAGAGCTCCAAGACCGACAGCATTCGGGACTGTGTTCAGTGCACCGATGGCAGTTCCTAAACTGTGGACGTAACCCGGCACCTTGGTGAGCATCTCATTAGAGAACGCCTGCAGCACAGCGTTAGAGTCGGGACCAGAATATTTCTGCAGAGACTCATCTCCGCGAATACTCAGTCAAACAGGTATACAGGCACACAGGCATGAAGCCTGAATTATCTTCTTTTAAATGAAGTAATTTATATAAAAAACTAATTTTCTCATTTTATGTAATCTGTACGAAAAGAGAGAGATGATAGTCGTTCTCGTCTCAGCTCATTAAAGTTAATTTGACCACGCCCACGGAGCACGCGCTCTATTCAAACACAAACGCTCTGAGGCGATCCACGCCCACATCAGCTGGATAACCCACCGAAAGAGACTCATATTTACGACGCTGTGAGGAATAATACTATCTTAATAATAATCCTGGAAAAAATTACCTCAGAAGTGCAGGTAGTTTCATTTTGCGGAGCAACGGATCCAGCTGAGGAATAGGAGTAGTATTAACATAAACCATGTGTCAAAAAAGGTGTTTTATGACTTGATTTATGGCCCTGTGTTGGTACAGAGTTGTGTGCCTGTCACTCATGACTGTCGTAGTGTTCTTGTATCAAGAAAACAGTGTTTCTGATTTACGGTGGTAGCTGACAGGCTCCTGTATGTCTAGGAAGTTTGGAGCCGTGTGACATCCTCCTTTGGTGAGATCCGGGAAACTTTTAAAAGACAAAAAAAAACTTTTGTTTGATTTTATGACCATCTTTTGGTAGATTTAGGCACCCCTTGTCACTCATGATTGACAGAGACTCCATGTGTCAACAAAAATCTGGGCTCCTTCCAGTCAGCTGGGGGGAAACTGATTGTATTTGTATTGGGGGTATGCCCATGTTGACAATATGCCAGTTGAAGTTGAAGTTGGATTCAAGATGGCTGCCGAGTGAATGGCAATGAGAGACTGCAACTGAATCCGTCAAAAATCATGAAAATGACTTGACACCCAAGTAGATAAGTGAAGTCTATGGCTTTATATGGATATTGGGATCTAACTTTTATGAGTGTTTCCCACTATTTTGATGTTTTGGGGCACTTCTGACAATACTTGTCAAGACTGTGAAAACCAGTCAAATTCAAAATGGAGGATGTCAAGAAAGCTCTGAGAGAACTGGCAAAGAAAATTGATGGAATGGCTGAAAATGTGGGCAAGATAAGCGGTTTGGTAGAGGATGTGAAGAAACTAAACAACCTACTTGCACAGAAGGATGAGAAAATTGCAGAGTTGGAGAAAAGAGTTGATGACTTGGAGCAATATACAAGAAAAGAAGATGTGGTCATTAGTGGCCTAAAAACAACACACCGCACTTACTCCAATGTCACCCGAGGGGAGAGCAGCGAAGTTGACATAACAGAGAAAGAAAAACAGACGCTGGAGGAGCAGGTGATCAAGTTCTTCAATAGAAGGGATATCTCTATTCACAAGGAGAGTATCGCTGCTTGCTACACCCTCCCCAAAAGGAACGGACAAATGGAAAGAACCATCATTTTGAGATTTGTAAATAGAAAACAAAAAAATAGAACTCTTGAAACAAGGAAAAAAGTTGAAGGACACGCACGTGTATGTAAATGAACATCTCACGAAAAGGAATGCTGAAATAGCTAAACATGCAAGGGCACTGAAGAAACAAAGGAAAATTCATTCAACTTGGACAAGGGACTGTAAAATTTGGATACGTACAAATGCTCTATCTGGTGAGGAGATGAAGGTCCTGTTAATCCGGGACCTCAAAGACCTGGAGAAATATGGCATTGTCTAGCCAACAAGAACTATTTCTTGATGCCCAGATCTATCTGAAAGAGGTTTATTTCAGACATAAAGAGTCCAACTTGGTGGTGGTGAGCAGATTTATATTTATTTGGAACAACCCTGCCACAAACTATGAAGGTATTTTTTTCCCTTTTTGGTTGAGACTGATGGTTGACTTACTGTTTTTCCAAGTGCCTTTCTTCGTGCTCCAGAGACTCATATTGAACTCACTTTCCTATTCAAAATGCCTACCTGTCGGAATCTAATATCATATCTTCTAAAAATTTTATTTTTATTTTTTGTTGTTGTTAGATTTTTCTTGGACAAATTGCTCTATTATCACTTTCACTGGTGTGTATGTGCATTGATCAGGATGTGTGAGATTGGGAAGAAAGTTTGCGATCATATTGAACAATTATTATGCAGGAACAAGATATAGACCCGGAAAGCAATTTTTTTGACCAAGTTACTAGAAATTGTTTTTATTATACTGAACACCAATTTAAGGAAAAATTTAACTTGGATAATGGTATTTCAATTGTACATTTTAATAGCAGGAGTCTATATGCAAACTTTGATAAGATCAGAGACTACTTGCATCATAATACCATGCAATTTAATATAGTTGCTATTTCTGAGAGTTGGCTTAGTCATGATAAAGGAATTCAACTTGAACTAGAAGGTTATCAATTACATTATGTCAATAGAGTTAACAAAAGAGGTGGGGGAGTTGCAATGTTTGTGGATAATAGGTTAAAGCATATGATTGTTGAAAGTATGACGACTGTTATTGATGGTATTTGTGAGTATTTAACGGTGGAAATCGATATGGGTAAAATGAAGAATGTTGTCGTTAGTTGCGTTTATAGAGCACCCAACTCTGGTATTGAAAGCTTTAAAGAAGTGTTTGAGGCCTTGGTTTTGAATGCCAAGCAGAAGGTTGCTTATTTCTGTGGGGATTATAATATAGATTTTTTAAATCCGAGTAAATCACCTGCAATAGAAGAGTTTATTGATGTAATGTACAGTACAGGCCTATATCCATGTATAAACAAACTGAGCAGAATTACCACACACTCAGCAACAATAATAGATAATATTCTTACAAATAATATGAGTAGTAATTTAGAAAGTGGATTGTTAATAAATGATATTACTGACCATCTGCCAATATTTGTACTCCATGAATGTAAACACTATAATTTGGATACCAGCAAAATAAATATACAGAGGAGATTAAGAACAGATCACACCATGAATAAATTAAAAAATGACTTGTTAGTTCAAGATTGGAAGAGTGTGTATGAAGAAGGGGATGTTGACTTAGCCTACAACTCATTTCTAAATACCTTTTTGACTCTGTATTATAAAAATTGTCCAATCCAGCAATCAGAGATAACATCTAAACGTCCATATAAACCCTGGGTTACAAGGGGTCTGATGAAGGCTTGCAAAAAAAAGAATACTCTATATTAAGACTTTGTTAAGTGTAGAACTGAAGAGAAAGAATTTAAATATAAGACATATAAAAATAAATTAACAGCTATCTTAAGAAAATGTAAAAAAGACTATTATAGTAGATTGCTGGAAACTAATAAAAACAATATAAAGGGTACGTGGAACATTTTAAATTCAATTATTAGAAGGAAAAAAACAAGTACTGGTTTTCCAAACGAATTTATTGATAATGGTAAAATAATTAAAAACATGGATGAAGTCGTGGCTGGCTTCAATGGATTCTTTGTGAACGTAGGCCCCAATCTGGCCGATGAGATAATACCTCCACAACAGGACGATGTCCCACAATATTTAAAAGAAAGAAATCCAGCAACTATTTTTTTGAGAGATACTGATAAAACCGAAGTACTTGATATTGTTAATAACTTTAAGAATAAAACATCAAGAGACTGTAATGATATTGATATGCTTTTAATTAAACAACTAATTGCAGTAATAGTAGATCCCATAGTATATATTTCCAATCTCTCTCTGAAATTGGGTTCTTTTCCCACAAATATGTGTAGAGACCTGGATAAATGTTTGTGTTTCTAAACGTATAACTGTCGTTTTTCTTTGAAAAGAGAATTTTATTATTTGTATCTTGGGTCTGAAAACATACACTCAAACAAAGTGTAGATCGACTTTGTTTTTTTTTTATGTTTAAATATGAGACATGTTTATAAAGTTTTTTTCAATATGTGTGTAAGGGAAAACAACTCATAAAATGGCTGCATTTTATTGAGTATTCTGAGAGAGTTTCAGTTGGACAATGAAAACGGTGGACTTTGACCCCTAAATCTCTCGCGAGGTTTTTTTTTTCTGGGAAGTTCGACACGAGGAAAGCTGACAGTGGTCGACGCTCACGCAGATTTTTTGGTTTTAGTGCTAGCTCGGTGACGAGAGTATAGTGTGAACTGAAAAATTCATGGATGAGTTTGCAGCTTGCCGAACGGAAAAGAAATGCGAGAGAGTTCGCTGAAAGACTGCATGCGCACTTTAGTTTCACGTGAGTAAAAGAGATAGAGGATATCTAG